AGGTTCAATACAGTAACTACTCATGGTTGAAAGAATGCTAAAATTAATGTTAACATTAACTTGTGATAGGAAATGGGTGTCCAAGACACCTGGCCAATAAAGCTGATTCTGAGAACAGTTGTCTCTTGAGTCATGGTAACTGATGTCTTCCTTCTTGGTGGGGGCAGTCGCTGAAAAAGGCACTAGCAAATAAAATGTTTGGTGTGTCCCTGAATGAGAAACAGCCAGACGTCAACAAAAACAGAAAGTGACACCAGTTGGCCATCAAGTGGTGTCACCCAATTTTCAAAACAAGAAATGAATAGAAATTGATGGGGGAGGCAGGTGAATATTTAGTATACATTATATATGTGTCTGTCTTTCTGTGCCAGTGAGGTCGGTTCAGTGGTAAACAGAAAGGAAGCAAGAGACGGAGAGGAAGGTAATAGTGTGTGTGTGTGTGTGTGTGTGTGTGTGTGTGTGTGTGTGGTGGTGGTGGTGGTGGTGGTGGGGGGGTGTTGAGAGAGAGAGGTCTGCGGAGGGCTTGATCTGTCTGCTGTGTGATTAATGATTGTCAGAGTCAAAATAAAACCCAGAGCTACAATATCGCTGCTCATCCTCATGAGACTAAACAACCTGCACTTGATCCAAAACAGATACATGCTTTTGAGGTACACAAAATTACATTACAAGCAATTATTTTGCAGTCACAGACTGAGCTGATTTTTAAGAAATGTCCCCATGAATGCTCAAGGCCTAAAAGCACTAGTCACTATTATTTAGTGTGAGAGAGTCAAATGACTGCTCCAAATAAAATAAGGAAGACCTGTTAGGGCTTCTAATGGCGCTGAGGAATAAGACTATCTTACAAAAGGGCCTTTATGATCAAGTAAATTGAGAAAAATTGTCACCAAAAGGGAATTACTACACAACCAGTAATCTGTAGATATTTCTAGTCAACATAAAAGACCAGTCATGCCCTTCTGTCTTTATCACTTACACAAAGCATTTGGATATCAAGACAGAAATGTAAAATCGATATATTGCAAATAAACACAAAAATCTCACCTTTAACTTAACTTCTTTCCTAAAACTTTGGTCAGACATGATGGGTCTGTGATGCCACAAATATTGTGAGGTGTTGAAAAATCTATTATGTAATCTAGATGTCTAAACAGGAATATACAGCCATGTTAGCTTCTTGTTCCTGTTAGTGGCCAGGCGCACCCTTAGAGATAGGGTGAGGAGCTCGGTTACCCGGGAGGAGCTCAGAGTAGAACTGCTGCTCCTCCACATCGAGAGGAGCCAGCTGAGGTGGCTCGGGCATCTGTTTCGGATGCCTCCTGGGCGCCTTCCTAGGGAGGTGTTCCGGGCATGTCCCACCAGGAGGAGGCCCCGGGGAAGACCCAGGACACGCTGGAGGGACTATGTCTCTCGGCCTGTCTCTTGGCTGGCCTGGGAACGCCTCGGCATCCCCCCGGAGGAGCTGGAGGAAGTGTCTGGAGAGAGGGAAGTCTGGGCATCCTTGCTTAGACTGCTGCACCCCGCGACCCGGTTCCGGATAAGCGGAGGAAAATGGATGGATGGATGGTTAGCTTCTTCTTGAGTCTACTTACATGCATACAGTCAGCACAACAATGTTAACTAAGTGCTCGTGTTGGCGTGCCAATGTGCTCACAGTGACCTATCATGCTATGCTTAGCCTATTAACAATAAAAACAAAGAGCAGCTAAGGCTGAGGGGAACGTTATTAGTTTTGCAGGTATTTGATTCTAAACCAAGAGGTCGATGTATGCAGATTTCATGGATGGACATGGGAAATAAGGGTTCTCCAAAGTGTTTACAGGTGGAAACAATTTCATGGCAATCCCTCCAATAATTGTTGAGCCATTTCACTTAGAACCACACTCCGAACCAACCTCATGGTAGCACTAGAGGAAAGGTTAGGGGTTCATCATAGCCAGGATACACTCTCTGGGGACCATGAATATTTATAGACAATTCCATAGCAATCAATCAAGTAGCCGATGAATAAACGGCTGACATTTCTGTCCCTAGAGCCATGCTGTCAAACATATTTAGCATCTGTGTGTTTTCTGACCTAATAATCACCAAATCTGTGACACTGGGGAGCTTCACTAGATTTAAAAGATAGGTAAAAAAACAAAAACACATCCACAACTGCATGCGCACACATCAATCTCTTTGTGTAACCACTGTCATTTCAATGCTAATCAGATACATGTCCAAAAGATGGAAAGTATTGCTCCATTTGCTCAGAAAATGTGTGTGTGTTATATTTAGTAGGCCAGTGGTGAGTGTACAAAACAGCCTCTAGAAAATGTTCTCAGGTGGTTTTTTTTCCCTTCCCCCATGACTTTTACTCATCAACTAAATGGTCCTAAAAGCAGTGAGGTTCTTTTTTGTGCGAGAAATGACAGATGAAGCACAGGATCTTGTTTGAACCTAAACCGTATAAGGCCAGTGTACACAAGAAAGTGCCATCTGTAATATGTCCCAGCAGATGTTCTGATTCTGATATAATGATGGATATTCACTTGCCTGAATGTTAATCTGTGGTAGATGTTGACACCCTCACACATATGCATGCACACCCATGCACACACAGTGTGGTTAATCAATCTTAGTTGATTAGTTTCTGTGAGGCATATTTTGCCTGAAGCCAGACACACAGAGTAATTGAAATACCTCCATATTTAGACATCTACCTGAGCAATTATTCCTCTCAAAACTGATTAAAATGTCTAAGGGAGGAGGTGTGTGTGTCTGTGTGTGTGTGTGCAGCAGAGGAGACACAGAGGAGGTCATTGACAAATGGTCCTCAAAATTGGCTAGTGTGTTTCCAATTAGATAAGTGAAAGAAGAGATCCATTTGCATAGATCATTAGCTTTAGAGGATATTTTTAATACTGCAATATGGGGCAAAAACAGATTCATTCTACTGAGGTCAAGTCCTTTCAGCATAAAGTCCAGAGAGCTACTAACGATCTGTTTTCTGATTGCACACAATCAGGTGAGACGGAGGGATCTGACGGTTTTCTCTTTTGAAAAAAACAAGACGAATGGATTGTTTCTGAGTGCATGAATAGATGCTTATGTGACACTTACAGCTAGAGTTTAGGAGTTAAATGTGAATACACAGGAGGGGCAGATGTGGAATTTTAAATTATTTACAACTATAATTTATCACAATCTGTGTTATGGGGGAAAAAAACTCAGCCTGTTGATCTTCAATATTTATTTATTTAATTAATAAATTATTGATTGTGACACTTGAGTAAAATTTTAGATGGTTGAATAAAATGATCTTAATCAAACAAAACAGTTTTATTTAAAAAAAAATACTATCAAACCTCAGTGTTTCACAGAAGTTATATGATATACATTTTTAAAATTTCTCTAAAAATTTCCAAACATTGGAATTAATATGTTAGTACAGTAGTAATAATCAGCACAATGCACATTTATCTAAAGCAGACTTGATAATCAAATAGTCAAATAATTAAACTACTGTTTTATAGGTAAAAATGCTAAACATTTGCCAGTTCCAGCTTTCCATATGTTATTATTTTCAGGCTTGCTTAGTCTTCTGTGCTAATGAAAATGAATATCTTTGGCTTTAGTTTTATTATGCTTGAGCTCTGGGAAAATGTAATATGCACTTTTCATTATTCTTTGACATCTTATAGAACAAAGCAAAAACCAGTTATTAACTGAGAAATTACTCAGCATGTTCACTGATAATAAAAATGAAATGGTCATAGTGTTAACTTAAAGTAGCACAGGGCTGAAAAATCTCTGACTTTCCCCAAAACACATATTGCAGCACTTAACTTTTACGCCTGAAGAGGGCAGTGCAAGGCAACACGTTTGATTAGCAGCACAGCATTCAAAGGTGCTGTTCACCTCCAGCTACTCTCTTTGTTATCGTCCTTCATTTAAATTCAACTCTAGAGACCAGACTAACAGTGGGAGGGTAATGAAAGATCACAAGCCATTAACTATTTCCAGCACAGTCACGCCCACCTTTGCACAATGCCACTTTTGTCACTTAGCTGCATTCATGCTTTTTAAGATGCATCCTGTGTTTTTCGGTTGTGTAAAGCAGTCAATCTAAATTGGGTTTGCATCGCTCACAA